ATACAAGAGCCTTATGAAGTGGTAATTATAAAGAAACCAATAAATTGCTAATCAGTTGTAATTACAGGAAATAGTTAATGAATACATATGTAAAATGGGATCATATATCTTCCAATTATAGTTAGTCAGGTACACAAATAAGCTGTAATTCTCAGATCTGTTTTGCCTTCTCCTATGTCATTTTAGATAATATATTCAATACACTTGGCCGTTATAGAGTAAATTCGTCATATCTGTATTACAAGAGACACTCTGGTCCTAATTTGTAATCTCAAATGGGTGATTTTAATACTGTCACACACTAGGTAAGTGGCTCATTTCTTTTCTTTCTTGTAGTTGCTCAGTGATATTTTGCTACTTGTTAAATGAAATATGAGAGCCTTTTTATTAAGCTATAGTCTATTTTACTTACTATTTTTATTTGTTGGGTTTTCAGTCTAGCTCTTTTACTAGATCTTAACAGGAGATGTAAAACTGGAAAAATTACAATCAGCATCTACTGTTCTGTAAGTAAAAAATTCCCTAGTCCAAATATGGGTTTGACATAAAAACCAGAAACTTTTGCAAAGATAATTTGTCACTGTTCTATAACTAGAATTGGCACCTCTGCTTCCTTTTCACAGCATTCAACTCGGGCTCTCTTGATCTTTTCAAAACAGGACTCTGCCAGCTGCAGGGCACTGATTTCAACTTAGAAGAAAACCTGTTACTTGCTTGGAAATTACTGTGTTTGTGTGTGTGTGTGTGTTAATACTTACAAGGGAAAAAAGATGAGCCCTGATCAGAAGAGTTCTTACGAAAGAATCTCCACTACTGTTTGACCGGAAACTGTAGGGCTCAGATGAACTATGGATAGTAGGATAGTCTGAACATATCAAACCCTAGAACTTTTTAAAAATTGCTATTTTAACCATTTTTAAGTGTACAATTCAGTGGCATTAGGTACATTCACTGTCACCACTAGTTATTTCCAAAATTTCTTATCATCCCAAATAGAACTCTGCACCCATTAAGAAAAACTCCCCTTCTCTCCTCTCTCAGCCCTTAAGAACACTAATTTACTTTCTGTCTCCATGAATTTGCCTATTCGAGATGGTTCATTTAAGTGGAATCAAAGAATATTTGTCCTTTTCTGTTTGGCTTATTCCAGCTTAACATGATGTTTTTACAGTTCATCCATGTTGTAGCATGTATCAGAACTTCATTCCTTTTTAAGGCTGAGTAATATTATATATACCACATTCTGTTTATTCACTGATCTGTTGATAGATACTTGGGTTGTTTCCCCCTTTTGGCTATAAACACTGGCATACAAGTTATATATCTGTTTGAGCTCTTGTTTTCTATTCTATTCTATTCTTTTCTATTTCTGTTCTTTTGGGTATCTACATAACAATGGAATTGCTGGTCATAATGTAATACTACATTTATGTTTTGAAGGAACTGCCAAACTGTTAAACTGATTTCTATAGAAGTTGCATCATTTTACGTTCCTACCAGCCTTGAGCCAGAATTTCTTTTTAATTTCTCCATATACTGGCCAACAGTTGGGTGTGAAGTAGTATCTCATTGCGGTTTTGATTTCCATTTCACTGAAGACTAATGATGTCAACTATGTTTTCATGGGCTTATTGGTCATTTGCATTTCATCCCTAGAGCCAAAGGGATTAGGGGCTGGAAAAAGAGAGTAGTTAGAGAATGTTTCCTGGAGATAAGTGTTAACCTTCAGTAGAGGAATACAGCAAACCTGAGATAATTTTTGAGGGAAGAATACACGGGGATAAATATCCTTGACTCTTTCCCTCCCATAACTTGTCAGAACTCCCCATTAGCTCAACAACTAGAAGCCAGAGAACATGGAAGCCAGCCTCCTAAGGCAGAAAGCAGAGTGAAGTGTGGAGAATGGATCTAGAATGAAAGGCAGAGCAAATGGAAGCTATCCACAACCGCAGATACATAGAATTCCAGTAAACAGATTTTGAATTGAGATGCTTCCAACTTACATGGTGGTGGTGGAGAAGCATTAGTAAAGTCATACAGATCTGTACAGCAGATAAAAAGATGATGGAACAGCATAAGCAAATAAATATCTGAAGTTCTTTTAAGTCCCATGGTGAGAAAAATTATTAAGATACATCCCTATACAAATACTTCATTTGTTTCTCAAAAATAATTTCCTGATGTTGGATTTAAGCATGAATAGCTGAACATACAATATGTTCAGTCATTGTTGTCTACAGGCACTAATGACCATGCAGTTGGAAGAAGAAGGAATTTTTCATGAAATAGTATCTGGTTTCTGATAAGGAAGACATTGGCTAATTTATTCATAATGTGATGGCTCTTCATTTATTATTTTTATTATCATATATTGTTACTTCATCTGAATATTCATGCTTCCAGATTTCTTTCGTATTTTGAACTTTTAAATTTATTTGCACTATGACAGACTATAGAATTTCATAGTGTTTTGCATATAACAAATGACAAATGCTTTATAATTGATTATTTAATGAAATAAATTAGTTATCTATTCATTTATATATCTGTTTTAACCCTTATGGTAAAATTAGAACACAATTCTAGAGATTAGTACATTGAGTAGGATGCTTGAAAACATTTGGCATATTTAAGAAGATTAAATCACACAGGGTCTATTATTAGATAACCATCTTCCAAATGGTGAATGCTTTATAAAAATAGAGCCTTAAGCTTGTTAGCCTGAACAGCATAAAAGTTTATTTCAGGTCTTGGTTTCATACACTGGGAAGAACTACTGGGATCAGTAAAAAGTCAGAATAAGCCTACTGAAAAAACAAACACAAAAAACAGGACCAATGGCAGCATTCAGACTCAAAAGCCTTAAGAACTCACTGAGTTAAGGGGATGGCCTGTAGAGTTCATATGGACTCATGTTTCAATTCTGGCTCTCAGACAGGCAAATTAAACTCTGAGTCTAAGTTTTTCTCATATGTAAAATGCATAGAATAATGCCTCCCTCATAGAAGAATGTTGAGAAGAATGAAATAACGTATGAAAAGTACTTGCTACTTACAAAGATCAGTCAATAACTGGGATTATTATCATTGTAAGGATTTCTTCCTAAGGCTGTCTATTACTTGGAACCCAGAAATACGTGCTTTTCAATAGTATTTCTGTGGCTGGAATGTATTGATATGCATTATAATTGAAAATCGATATTTTTCATTGGAATGCTATGGCAATATAGATTAATGTAGCAGCAGCATTATGGTAGTAGTAAAAGAAGAATAGTAATTATTATTGTCTAACAGCGTACATAAAAACAATTTAGACACCATGACTTTAGTTCTAAAATGTTCTCTTTTACTTAAAATTGCACGTTTGTCATTTTGTATACTGACTTTCTCCGAAATAGGTGTATTTAAATTGTTCCCTGTTAGATGCCAGATATAATTATATAAAAGAGGGGGTGAGTGAGATATGACATAACTAATATCCACTCAGATACTTCTTTAGTATGTTCAGTTAAGCTTCCTCATCAAGGCTGACCTTCATTTAGTGTCAAAAACCATTGTTACCATTAGCCCTGTACTTCTGAGACAAGGATTACTGGATGCTTAAAATGGTCTATGACCAAAAGTTTTAAAGTTCTCATCTGACTAGATTTCTAGATTATTCAGTATATACAGACATTAAAGAATATACATATTAGAGGGGGAATACTTTATCTCCACTGTTGATTTCTTTGAGAAATAATTTTTCTAAGTATATTCCTAACTTTCTTTTTGTCCCTCTATTCACTCTGCCCAGAGTAGTGGAGGACTGATTCATTTGATTGGTAAATTTGGGAAGGCTCTGCCTTGCCCTTCTTCCTTTTGGGAATAAGCTACCTGCAGGCAGCAAACTACCTCTGCTACTTTTCCAGGAGCAGATTCTTCCTTCCCTTTAGAAAAAGGGACCGCCCTGGTTCAATGTTGCCTACATCTGGATATGTTCACCAATCCTGGGGGATTTGTGAGCAAGCCCATTTGGTTCTCATCTTTTTTTTTTTTAAGTTTTTTATTGTTATGTTAATCACCATACATTACATCATTTGTTTTTGATGTAGTGTTCCATGATTCATTGTTTGTGCATAACACCCAGTGCTCCATGCAGAACGTGCCCTCTTTAATACCCATCACCAGGCTAACCCATCCTCCCACCCCCCTCCCCTCTAGAACCCTCAGTTTGTTTTTCAGAGTCTATCGTCTCTCATGGTTCGTCTCCCCCTCCGATTCCCCCCCTTCATTCTTCCCCTCCTGCTATCTTCTTCTTCTTTTTTTCTTAACATATATTGCATTATTTGTTTCAGAGGTACAGATCTGAGATTCAACAGTCTTGCACAATTCACAGCGCTTACCAGAGCACATACCCTTGGCTCTCATCTTAAACTATATTCTCCAACTTGTCTTTTATAAAAAATAAGTGATATTTTTGATCTCTATAAGCTACTCTTTGTTTTATTTTCAGTTTGCTAAGAACATAGGGAAGAGGGAAGACATTTAATTTTTTCATATACTCCTTGTATCTGAAAGTTGATATCCTTTCCTGAATTCTCTATCATCAAAAAGCTTTGAGCCTATAGTAAACAAAATCCCCAGATCCAATAAATTCTATCATGATCAGCTTTCAGAGCCCCCAATTAAGCCCCAGTGTGCTTCTCCCATGAAGATATTGAAGCTACTTCTATGCAATTTCAGAAATAAGTTCAAAGACAAAAACAAGAAAACACCTTAGGTTATCATTTGGATCTTTCTAAGTTTACTACTGATCTTGATGTTGCACACCAAGGAAAAAGCGTTAATTCTTTTACTGGGAAAAGGTGAACAAACTCTTCAGTGTAAGAATATAGTCAGAACTTCAAAGCTCATTTGATTTGTGACCAACTCCTGAAGAAATATACTCTTAGACAAACCATTATGATAAGACAGGTAGATAACACATCATTATGTGCATATGACGTTTCTAAGTACACTTACCTCTGCTGTGTGCTTTGCCACATGCCCCACGATGACAATGACCTTCCCTTTGAAGCTCTGGAGCACAGCAGTGAAAGGGCCCTGGGTAAGCTCCCCTTCAGTAGTGAAGGCAGCACTAAATGGAATGTTGATGCTTCCTGAAATATGACCCCGAATAAAACTGAGAAGGAAAGATTAAGGAAAAAATTATTTGTGTGTAGACTTGAGTGTGTGAGGGAAACTCACAGAGGGAATTGATTCAAAGAAGATAGTACATTAAAATCAAATACAAACAGAAACCAGATTTAAAAATTCCCTGAGCAGGGAAAACTAGTTTAGTCATACAAGCAAAGTTTAGTTTGGCTTATTTTGCAAGACAAGTGAAGCTAACTTAACCTTGGTCACTTCTTATGCCTCTGAAAATCATGAACAAAACTTAAATTGTTGCCCCAAATTGAAATGAGGTAACCCCTAACCAATTCCCTTTCATTTAAGAAAATTCTAAAATTTTCAGAAAATAAAAAATATAAATAAACTGAAAAATAAACAGTCACTGCCTCCACATTGTATAAGCTGCTTTATAACAATATACCCTTGAGCCTCATTCCATGTTTTTGTTTGAGTGCTCCTGATTTGTAGATTCTTTTTTGGTATGTGCACAATAAGCTTTTACTAATTACTATTTCAGTGATTCATTAGTTTTACTTCTGGTTTTTGTTTTTTTTTTTCCCTGATGGTTCTTAACATCTTGAATGCTCACGTGAGTATTTTATCTAAATGAAGTAAGGTACCGGTAAGGAAAAAAAAAAGTTAAATATGAAAACGGAATGGAAAAAATAAAGGAAGAAGATGAGTGGAAAATTTAAAGAAGACTTTCCTGAGGGGCGCCTGGGTGGCTCAGTTGGTTAAGCATCTGACTTCAGGTCATGATCTCTGGGTCCTGGGATCGAGCCCTGCATTGGGCTCCCCACTCAAGGGGAAAGCCTGCTTCTCCCTTTCCCTCCCCCTGCTTGTGCTCTCTCTCTCTGTCAAACAAATAAGTCTTTTTTTAAAAAAAAAAAAAAGATTTTTCTGATTAAATGAAGTATTGCAAAAGTGATGAGGATGCAGCAAATCAATGACAATCCCATGGGTTGCACAATATTCATTGCTTTCAGTTCATTATTATAACCATGATTATTTACAGCTCTAAAAGTAATATAGTCAATCAGAAGTTCTCAGATCTCACTTGATACTACAAAACCTATCTACTTTGGGCAAGTGACTGCTAAGGAGGACTCTCTTTAGAGTTGTTAGGTCATTAGCATTGATTGGAAACCCTTTTGTTCTTGGCTATTTCTCAAGTGAACTTAGCTGACATTTCCATTCTTTCCAATTTCATGCTCTCTAAGGGGGTAATGTGTTATTATATATGCACTTTAGAAGAGTTCATATGGTCTGAGTATTTTAATTTTGGAATTAAAAGCATATATTAGTTCAAAATATTTAGTAATATCATATGATCTTAAAGTAAAAAAAAATATATGCCCCCAACTAAGGCATAGTATATTTCAAGATGTGGTAGATGATGAAACCAGAAAGGTAGATTAAATAATAATTATGAACTTAGTCTTCTAACTATTCTCAAGGTATTTAAATTCGTTTGAAATGTGAGATCCCATTTAATGTTATTATTTATTATCTGTCAGTAATATCTGTTCCTGCCAATAAATGTTATGATGTTTAACACATTGTGCTTCCTGGACTCTCCAAATTTGCCACAGAAATTTTAAAAATAAAGGCCCATATATCTTAAAAAAAAAGAAAAGAAAAAATATACACCCCCCCCAAATAATTTAAAAGTACAATTAAAAAGATAATTCTTCATATAGAGTCTATAGAGGAAGATGGTTTTTTTTTTTAAGATTTTTATTTCTTTATTTTAGAGAGATTGAGAGAGACAGAGAAAGAGAGGTTGAGCATGCACACAAGTAGCGGGGAGAGGCAGAGGGAGAGGGAGAAGTAGGCTCCCTGCTGAGCAGGGAGCCTGATGTGGGGCTCGATCCCAGGACCTTAAGATCATGACCTGAGCCGAAGGCACTTAACCAACTGACCCACCCACATGTCTTGAGGAAGATATTCTTAAATGTTGTTATTAATCAAATAACTCTTCAAATAAACATAAAATAACTGTGAAAACTGTTCTGAAAGAGATGGATAGGATATTCTGATAGGATATATCAACTTGGGGAGGACAGGGAAGGTTTTCACTGAGAAAGCAAGTGATAGCTGAGTTAAAATTGGAAGAATTAATAAAACTTAATTAGGCAAAGGGATGGAATGGAGGTGGGATGGATAAACATTTCAGGCAGAATGTTAGGCTTATAGAGGGGAGGCACATGGCCCATAAGGAGAAATAAAGGAAGGCCAGTGTCAGCAGAATTTAGAGAGCAAAGTATAGCATGAGATAAGATGAGCTTGGAAATGAATGCAGAGGCCAGACAAAGCAAGGCCTTGTAGGTCATGTTGATAGTATTAGTCTTTATCCTAGAACAATAAAAATCAGAAAGTATTTTAAGCAGAGAAGTAACAAATCACATTTGTACTTTGGCAACAATATGAAGAAAGGCTAGAAGTAGAGTGAATGTGAAGACTAGTTTATAAGAAGTCCAGGCAATCTGTCTTCCCTCCCTTAACAATCACTGATTGATGACCATGGAAGGGATATTTATGTGTTCAATAGAGGCATTTCCCCTAGATGTTTTTTAAAAAATGGAAGAGTCATAGAGTTTTAAACGGTTATGCCACAAGCAACTAATATTCCCCCCTCCCAAAACTCATTAGTCATCACTGTAGAAGGGGAAAAATTATAATTATTTATTGACATGACAGTTTCTCAATTGCCCCAGTTTGTAGTTTCATCTTTAGAATTTTACTTCTCTCCTTCTGTTTCTCTGCCTGTCTCTTTCTCTCTCATTAATGGTGAGAGGAGAAATTGAGGCTCCTACTCTCAAGAATGATGGTGAAGATTGACCACATATCTTATATTTGAAATTTTCTAGTTGCTGCTTCATCATTTTTTCTTCAAAGAAAAACATTTGGCATTAATAATGAAGGAAAGAACTACAAAAAGTTTTGAAAAATAAAAAGAGAGGTAAAGTAAACATTAGCATCCCAGTGTACATTGTTTAATTAGAGTCTTCTAGAATGGACAAAGAATTTATGATCATGGGCAGATCACCCCTGGATTTCATCAGCACTAGTTTCTCAAACATTTATAATTATTCAATATTCTCAACTGCAGTTTTCATGAACAGTCAGGGCTTTGTTCTCAGCATATAATTACTCTGATAGTACTTTTATTTTCAGTTAGGACATACCTTAAAATGAAAAATTTGGATACCACAAACTAAAGAATCTAACAACTCAAATATTCTGATAGTACTTTTATCTTCAGTTAGGACATACCTTAAAATGAAAAATTTGAATACCACAAACTAAGAACCTAACAACTCAAATATTCTCAGCAAATGATTCTACATCTGCCAGGCTGAATCAGTTGCCAGAGTTTCTGTGTTTATCAAACAGCCCTTACCAACTGTGAACATTTTTTTCTTTCCAGTGCTTTTACAGTAGCAAAAACAATACAAATCTATCCTAGAAATATTTAGGTTGTTTGCCCACCTCCCACTTTCTTGTTTTAGAGAGCCTCAACTACTGCTCCCAAAAAAGGGTGAGCCTAGATTGTCATGTTTGTATCAGATGATCCTTCCATCCACAATCATGACTGATAGGATAGTAAGGAAGGGAAGGGTGAAGGTGGATATCTGATGCAGACTGAGCCAATTAGATTCTCTCCCTTGAAAATCAGAAATAAAAGATAAAAGACAATGCTTAGGCTGTGTTAAGCTTTATAATGTAAGTTACATTTGAGTGTCTGTTATACAAAATTTGTTCGGTTACATATTAGAAAATTGGTGACTCTAAAAATAATCTTTATTTTACAAGATAAAGTCTATAAATATTTGGCTTTAAAAAGTACTCATTTGTACCCAAATACCCAATATCTAAAATCTGTATCTAAATTATAAAGGAGCATCTAGATGATTTTGTGGACTCGGTATCACCAATTTCTTATGTGCTTTTAAAGATTTCAGTCCAAATTGCTTTTTAGTCACAGACGTAAGTCATAAACTTGTTACTATCCTAGAATTTTCTGTTGGTTGTGCTTTATAGTTTGATTTTAAAAAAAAATCTATATTAAATGTTTAAATGCTTGACAAAATATGATGGCAGCAGAGACTTTTTTGGAAGAAGAAAATTATAATCCAAAATGCAAAAACTATTCCAAACCCTTTTTAGGCTATCTTAACATTTTGAAAGATAAGGCACAACAGAAATAAAACTTTAAACCACACTTCCCCTATTCTTAGTTTAGTTCAATCAAAAAGTCCTGGAAAACATTTAAAAGCACTCATCCAAGAACTTGCTTGTCATAAAACTTCTAGTGCAAATAAGATTAGGTAAGCATGAATGCTCGTAGGGTGGTCAAACCTCTAAATATCTATCCTTAATTACATTACTGGCAAATATAAGAGAATGAGATTGGCCTAGTTATATATTAATACATTTACCATGAACATGGTTGAACAATGAAGACAATTTTGATTTAAGGATCTCGCTTCCTTGGTAATTAAGTTCCTCTATCTACATTAGAAATTCTCATGTGAAACAGACATCATATGATGAAGCAGAACTCCCTTATACAATTTCTTAAACATGTGAGAGGCTACCAGATTATACTGTAAAGGTAGATAACTGAATACTGTTTTTACCTTTTGAGTCCTCCATAATCATAATAAAATATTAGGATCTGAAAACCGAGTGAAGAACAGATTTCTGTATATTTTGTGTTAATTGGACAGAATAAAAGTGAGATAGAAGGCAGTTTCTGACATATAGTGACTCTAACTCTCAAAGGTGACTCTGATTAGTCATGGGCAAAATATGGCAAGGAGAGTAAAATGATAGAGAATACACATCTGCGATAAGCACTTTCTCCATGCTCCAAGAACTTTAGTTTTATTTCATTGTACTGCAGTGGAAGACAAGTATGTATAGGTTCTTAATATAAGGCAGTATTAGAGATGAGCAGGCAACAAGACATATTTTAGGATTACGGGTGTCACTTCACTGCTTTCC